GGGACAAGGAAATGGGAGTTCTCACCCACTCACAATGTGATGTGAGTGGATCAAGGAAGGGTCCATATGCCATGCGACATCCCTCCACTCCAGCCTCATGATCTCCCTGGGCTTTATCTCCAAGTTGGGAGTGTGAAAATCAGCTTTCTCCGCAGCCCCTATGAGCTGGTACTAATGTGTGCCCATTTTTCAGATGAGAAGATCGAGGCACGGAGGAGTGAAGTGCTTGTCCAAGGTTTCACAGCGAGCATGTGATGGGGCCAAAATCCCAATGTGGAGTAGTCCACTCCACATAGCATGCTCATACTGTATTGCAAAAGGAACGGGGTGACCGCACTTCTGGTGTCCTAGCTCTGCGTCTCTCCCAACTTGAGCTCTGACAGGAAAATGATGCAGTTTTCTCCCTGATTTGCCCCTTCCCAACCTAGATAAAGGTCTCTCTTCAAAGGCTTCTAGGAAACGAGGTTCCAGTCTTCCCTTTCAGACTCCCAGTCTCATGCATGTCAGGAATATGGCTCTCAGGAAGTTCCTCCTGCAGTCTAACCTTCACCCATCTTCCTTCAGGTCAAGTCCAGATATAAGGTCCCAGATAGGGGAGAGAGAGCATGTGGACAGGCTTCTGTCTCAGAGAAGGGTATTCTTGGTCTCTAAAACCAGGGTTTAATTCTCTAACCATGACAGTCAGGGCCGGCCAATCACAGACCTTAATGGGAGAGCTTAAATTATAGAGGACCAAGATAGACGAAAGAAAAAAAAAAAACAACCCAACAAAACCCACCCAACTCCCAGCCCCTGGTACTGCAGCTGATGGGTAATTATCTGCTGTTTGTGCGCTGTGCTATTGGGGCTCCAGCCCTGACTACTCGGGATGGACAGTGTGGGGACCAGGCCACGGGGTTGGTGTCAGGCCAAGACAATTGAGAGGGGCCCCCAGCCAGACCCTTCTCACGTCTTCCCCCCTCTGCCACCCCACCACTCCCCTCCAATCAGGGGAGGAGCTGCCCTCTCTTGCCCAACACCCTCCCCCCAAATCCTGGGAAGAGAGAGGGAGTGATTAGCATGGGGCATTGTCCCCACATAATGGGCCCCAGCTGCCGCTTGCAAGAAGAGACAAAGCGCCCGGCCGCTCCACAAGCATTATCCCCTCGTTAAATCTCTGTTATTAGATTAGATTCAAAATGTATTGATTCAGAGTCTGGTGGGGGTGGGGGAGGAGAGGGATGTGGCTGGGGAGTGCGGAACCACACCTCTCCGAGGGCGCGCCCTCCCCCTCCCGGCAGTGGGCAACTTTCCCTTCCCGGGCCCTGAGCGGAATCTCCCCTAAGCGCAAACCCTGACTCTGAGCTCCGCTGCTCGCCTGGACCCTCGCCAGAGCCGCGGAATGTCCACTCTTGCAGGGGGGGCTGGGGTCGTGGAGCGCAGATGAACCCCACCGCGCGGGAAAGGCAGCCTCGCTGAAATGCAGGCAGTGAGCTCCACAGCTGGGAGCTCTATACAGGGCTGGGTCGCTCAGGCTGGGCTCTTTCAAGTCCTTTAAGGCAATCTTTTGAGTAGAAATGACAGATTTGGAAAGCAGTGTGGATGGGAAAGGAGGTGAGAACGGGGACTCTTGGGAGGTGAGTGGAGAAGGCTGCAGCAGAGAAGTGGAGATGAGCTATAGAGAACCTGTCTAGTCAAAGCTCTGTTTTTTCCAGTGGTCATGGATGGGTGTGAGCTGGACTATAAAGAAAGCTGAGCGCTGAAGAACTGATGCCTTTGAACTGCGGTGTTGGAGAAGACTCTTCAGAGTCCCTTGGACAACACAGAGATCAAACCAGTCCATCCTAAAGGAAATCAGTCCTGAATATTCATTGGAAGGACTGATGCTGAAGCTGAAACTCCAATATTTGGCCACCTGATGCGAAGAGCTGACTCATTTGAAAAGACCCAGATGCTGGGAAAGATTGAGGGCAGGAGGAGAAGTGGACGACAGAGGATGGGATGGTTGGATGGCATCACTGACTCAATGGACATGAGTTTGAGTAAACTCCAGGAGTTGGTGATGGACAGGGAGGCCTGGCGTGCTACAGTCCATGGGGTCGCAAAGAGTCAGACTCAACTGAGCGACTGAACTGAACTGAACTGGGCACTTCTCAGAAGCACTTGTTTTTAAAGACTTGGGTGGAGAATGAGAAATATCATATGATATTGCTTATATGTGGAATTTAGAAAGAAATGATACAAATGAACTTATTTATAAATAGAAACAGACTCACAGACTTAAGAGAACGAACATTGTGGTTACCGGGGAAGAGATAGGTAGGGATTTGGGGACGGACATGTACACGTTGCTATATTTAAAAATGGATTAAAAAAAAAAAGGATAAAAAAAAAAATGGATAGACAACAGGGACCTACTGTCTAGCACAGGGAACTCTGCTCAATGTTATGCGGCAGCCTGGATGGGAGGGGAGTTTGGGGGAGAATGGATACATGTGTATGTATGGCTGAGTCCCTCTGCTGCTCACCTGAAACTATCACAACATTGTTAATCAACTATACGCCATATAAAATTAAAAGTTTAAAGACAGAGAAAATTGGCTTAAATAAGACAAAAAATAAATTGAAAATAAAAATAGAAAGATAAGAGAAAAAAAAAAAGACACAGGTGGTTTCTGGTTTTCTCTCTCTGCCTCAGACAGAAAAAGAGGGAGGGAGCAGAAGGGAAGTTCTGGGAGAGATTCAGGTGGAGGGAGCTTCCGCGTGTTCTCATATCCCAGACCGGGTAAAGGTCTGCTTGTGTGGCGCCCTAGATCGATACCGATGGACAGGAGTGAGTAAACCCGGGGAATCTCGGCCCTGGGCCTCAGTTTCCCAGCCTGGTTGCTGGATCGATGAGCTGATTGGCTGTGGCTAGTGGAGCGGAGGATGCTACACGTGGCAGCTCATTCTCCAGGTGGTTAATTGGCTGCCTCCACGCTGGGCTCTGTTGCCCCATTGATTGTAGGTGAAGAGCCGGGAGGGGGAGATGGGGAATCAATAGGTTGATGAGTGTCTTACTAGCTCTTTGGTTGGACACTTTGTCAATAGCCACCCACTTACTGATCAGCGGTGCATGGACGGTGCCAGACCATCCAGCTTGCTTTCTCTCTCTCTCTGGCCTGAGACATGAGACCCATGACTGGCCCATGACTGCATGACTTGGCCCAGCAAGTCCAAGTGGAGAGTGGCTTGGAACAGCTTTGATCCCAAGACCAGGCTCCCAAGCACGGGCTGCCAGGATCATCCTGAGAAAGTCGGGATAAACAGGATAAGCATCTTTAGCCCAGCCTTTGCTCAGCAGGAGGCAACTAATGTGTGCTTGCGTGTGTGCTTAGTCGTTCAGTCATGTCCCACTTGTGGCCCCTTGGACTGTAGCCCACCAGGCTTTTCTGTGCATGGAATTCTCCAGGCAAGAATACTGGAGCGGGTCGTCATTTCATCCTCCAGGTGATCTTCCCAACCCGGGGATCCAACCAGCGTCTCTTACTTCTCCTGCATTGGCAGACAGATTCTTTACCACTGCGTCACCTGGGAAGCCCACTGTGAATGGAAGCCAATCTCCAGCCCCACAGTCTCCTGCTTTTTTTCTGGAAAACCTACGCATCAACAAAACACAGGAAAATCCTTTACTAATATCAAGAGCACATATGTCTGAGGTGGAAGCAGCAGATGAAACCCATCCCAGCTTGTATTAGAAACCAGCAACCGGTTAGATGATATTTCATGAGTTCCTTCTGCTGGGGAGGCTGGGTGAGAAGCAGGTCCGGGAATCTAAACCAGACAAGCCTGCTTCCTCAGCCTCTGGGCTTTTTCAGACATGAAGTTCTCAAGGCTCTGCCTTCCATCCAGCCTCCTTGGATGGTCTGAAAATTAGAGATGCAAGAGCTCGGGGTCAAGGGAAGGTATCAGTTCAGGTATTCCGCACTGAACCCCTTATAGTTGGCCAGCCTGGAACAGCTCATCCTAGATATTTTAAGAAGTCCTTTTCATTTAGCCTGGAAGACTTCAGTTCCTAAGAGACAGGCAGCCCGAGACAGGGAGACTAAGACTGGAATGAGAAAGGAAGAACCAGAGAAAGTCTCAGGCAAACACAGCAGACTCCCAGCCATCATTCTTAGTGTGTTCTAGCATTCCTTTCCTCTGAATACTTGTTAGGTGGAGGGAGTGATGGAGTTTGGATGTTCCTTGTGCATGCCTGAATGCTCAGCTGCTTCAGTTGTGTCCGCCTCTTTGAGACCCAATGGACTGTAGCCTGCCAGGCTCCTCAGTCCATGGGATTCTCCAGGAAAGAATACCGGAGTGGGTTACCATGCCCTTCTGCAGGGGATCTTCCTCGCCCAGTGATCAAACCTGTGTCTCTTGCATTACAGGCAGTTTCTTTACTGCTGAGCCACTGAGGAAGCCTGTGATGTTCTTAGCATATCTTGAAACCCTAATGTGTGAGAGAGGGGCCAGGATCTGATATGTAAGATCAGAGATCATGCCTTGGACTCTCCTTCCCTCATGGTCCTGCTTTCTTGTGGATATGCCAGGGGTCGGCTGCTGAGAGAAGGAGCTAGATGAATACAAGACTTAGCATTCTCTGCTTTCATACACCAAACCAGTGGGTGCTGGCCGTGGTGCTGATGTTCTTGCTCGGAAAGAGCGGATTCCCAGCTTCCCAAGAGGCTCTGAGCCCACATTGATAACAGGACTATGTAGACCCTTCCATCATTTTTCCAGGGGATTACAGAACTGAGCACCATTCTCCCCACCTCCCCACTGCTAAGTGTTCATGGTTCTGATCCTCACACCTTGAATCCCACCTCCAATTGTCTCCTTCAGAACAGCCACCTTTTGGTCACCTCTTCATTCCTTGGGCCAGAAAGCACCAAACATCTGAAACCACAGATTAATTTCCCAACCTCTTTACCACCAGTAACTTCAGACCTCATCTTCCATCCACCTTGATGCTGACAAAGGGCCAATAAGAGTTTAGGGATTCATTGCATTTTTATTATCTTTCATCTGGTGGGTGTTCAGGGAAGTGGCCACCGGCGAGCAGGGAGACCTTAGGGTTGGATGAACCTAATGCAGAGTAATGAGGCCCATGTGGCAGAGAGCTGGCTTATCTCCACCTCAAAACAAGGCTGCGGGGATGAGCAGAATTCCAAAGTGCCAGTTCAGGGACACGCCCTTGGGGAAACTGAGGCTTGATGTTTAGAGAGTGAAGTCAGGCCATGTGTGTGTTTCTTCTGATCCAGGAGTGTGTTTTAAAGCTATAATAGGCCTGTAGGGGAGTGGATGAGGATGGAAGAATCTTAAACACCAAGTTTGGGGGAGGGAGAGTGAAGGCCCTGGTTTGGGACTGCTGAGATGCATTGGCACTGGAAACAGGCAGGAACTGTACGTGTGCTTTGAGAACATCACTGGTGCCCCTTGGTCCTGAAATTCCCCCATCCCCATCCTAACAAGCGCCATCCCCCCTTCCCCACTCCCCCGTGGCCAGGCGCTGGGCTGGACCCACTCAGGAATACTGCCAAATGGACCAGAGTGTGACCAAGGTGATGCTGTAGGCCAGCACCGCCAGCAGGTAGATGCGGAAGAGCAGCCGGTCCAGCACGGAGCCCACACGCAGCCAGTCCCGGGCCACCTCCCGACTCCCCTCCCGCCTTTCCAGGAAGTGCCGGATGGAGGTCAGCTCCTGCAGCAGCCCGCGCACTGCCAGGGAGGCCTCCCGAGGCGGCGGGGGAGGGCTGCCTCTGCCCCTCGGGGTCTTCTCCAAGTCCCGGGGTCCCCCCAGATGGCTGCAGTGGTTTCCCATGTCTAGAAGAAGGACAGAGCATTGGCAAAGGAGGGAGGCCCAGCAGGCTCGTGTGAACACTGACCTTTACGTTTCTAAGGCCTCAGACATTTTTATGATGTATGATTTCAGACCTAAAGAGTACAGAGAATAACTTACATCTTTGGGTACCCACTGTCCAACTTAAGCAAACAAAGAAAGCCGATGCAGTTGAAGATCGCTGTATATCCTCCCTCCTTAGTCACATCCTTCATCCCTCCCCAGGTCAGCAAGACCATGAATTTGATGTTTATCCTTCACACACGCATTTTTTTTTTAACTCAAGGGCTTTCCCTAGCCATATATATCCGTTATATCATTAGAACCTCCCAGCAGCCCCATGGAGAGGCAGACTAAGAGTGATTACTAACCACACTCTTCATATGAAGATGTGAAAGTTCAGAGAGTTTAAGTGACTAGCCTGCGACGACACAGCCAGAGCATCATTTAACAGTGAGGCCACCGAGGTCCAGGTATCTGGGCTCCAAATCCACTGCTTTGTCCACTACATCATATCACCTCCCTGCACTCCTCTCCATGACTTTGAATCCTTATGGACCAGAAAATACACCTTTGGATCACTGCCTTCACCAGGTGAGCAGTAGAATTAGGCATTAGTCTATCCCACGAGCTCATGATGAGATGGTCTTAGGTTAACCAGACCTCTGTGAAAGGCCAGGCCCCAGCCAGAGGAGGACGCAAAGGAGGGGAGAAGGGTGGAGGGTTTAAAACACCAGCTCGGAGTCAGATGAGCCTGAGTTTGAATCATGGCTTCGTCAGGTCCTGGCTCTGTGGTTTAGGGCAAGCTGTTAGGCCTCTTTATGCTTCTGTTTCCTCATTTGAAAAATGAAAATGAGGATCCTACTGGGTCACCATGAGAATCACCTATGATAATGCACAGAAGATGCTTCGTACACACCTGGTAAAGTGCTCAAGAAATCAACCAACCAATCCATCACCACCACCACCACCGACAGAAGCAGGAGGAATCGAGTATCCCTCTATGCCCTGTCTCTCTGCCTCATAGATGTTTGAAATTCTAAAGGGCCTGCTCTTTGGCTCATTCCAATGAGAGAGTGTTAGGAACCAGGCTGCAGTGTTGAACGACAGGAGGGTAGTTGTCCCGTAAGTGCCTGTTGTCATTGTTTAGTTGCTAAGTCATGTCCAGCTCTTTTGGTACCCAAGGGACTGTAGCCCACCAGGCTCCCCTGTAGACCCTATGGAATCTCCCAGGTAAGAATACTGGAGTGGGTTGCCATTTCCTCCTCCAGGGGAGCTTCCCGACCCAGGGATCAGGTTCGCGTCTCCTGCATTGCAGGCAGATTCATTATTGCTGAGCCAGCAGGGAAGCCCTATAAGTGCCTGAGGGGCATCCACTTGACCTCGCTTGGGATTCATCGCAGGCGAGATCACCCTCAGCCCAGAGGTCTTGGGTCCTGACACGCTCAGTCTCTGGGACTCCTAAACCCTCTTCCCCTCCACCCAGGCTGATGAGGGAATACAAAGTGAGGAAGGGGCTTGACTGACGCCTTGGGCTGAAGTCTGCCATGAGTTCTTAGTGCAGGATGATACCGTTTGCAGGCCCTGCCCTGGCTCCCTGGCCTGGCGAGCCCTCCAGAGCCTCCCGCACCCCCAAGTCCCTGCCTCCGGGCCAGAAGCTCCCCTCCACGTGGGGCTCTCCCGATCCTGTCTCACCTGAGCAGTCATCGGTCTTGGCGGCTTGGGAGGTGGCCGGGGGCCTCCGGGGAGTCGACTGCTCCCCTATGCAGAGGAGCAGGGCGACTCTCTCAAGAACCAGATGGCGCAGCCAGGCGGGCACGGGCTGCTGCAGATCCTGTTTGTGTACCAGCCGCACGATGAGGATCGTCTCGGCCAAGCTGATCACCAGGAGAGCCATGCAGACGACGAAGTAGACACCTATGTGCCCCAGGATGGGGTGGGGCGGGAGACACACACGGGAGGTAGGAGAGGCGCCGGTCCCTCGGCCCCAGGGAGCTCCTCCCCGGGGAGCCGGCCTTACCGATGAGGGGCGTGCCGATGGCCGTGGCCGGCAGCGTGTCGGACACGATGATCAGGAAGACCGAATAGCCCAGGAGGAGCGTGATCTTGAAGGAAACTCTCTCGCCGCTGTCCGGAGGCAGGTAGAAGCCCACGATGTCCACGACCATGAGGAAGATACTGGGCAGAAGCAGGCTGACCGCATAGAAGAGGGGCCGGCGGCGGATGACGACCTGGGATCGAGAGAGGAGCTCGGGGGAGTGGGGGCAGACAGGTTCTGGGCCCAGGAACCCCCCTCCCCATCCCAGAGCCTCTTGCTGCATGGAGCTTTCAGCCTGGACTGCTGAAAGATGTAGACAAACCCCATATACTGTCTCTGGATCCAAGCTCGTGGCCGTTCAGGAAAAGCTAAGAGATAGCGCAGCTGTGTTTCCCCAACCGCTTCGTTGAGGCTGCAGGGCACCCCGCACTTGGGAAAGGGCTGCGGAGGTTCTTCCCCATGTGCCTCCTGATGCCTGCCGGGGTGTGTCCCACTCACATAGAACTTCATCTCTGCGTAGCTGTCGCTGCTTTCTATGCTGAACTCCTGAAACTGGGTCAGCACCCCCAGCAGCTCCCACTCGCCCTGGTTCATGAAGACGCTCCTGTCGAACTTCACCTTTTCGGGCAGTCGCCACAAGGAGATGTTGATGTCCTGGACTGAGACAGGAGAAACCGGGTGGCTTTGAAGCCCAGGCCAGGGGCATGCCGGACCCTGTGGTGGTGGGGCAGCACCCACGTGGCGTGGCGCAAGCCTCAGCTGTTAATCTGCAGCCTGTTTCTTGGCTGGAAGCTGAGGTCATAGTGCACTGTGTACTTGTCCGTGCAGTGGGGCTGTACAGAGGGCACGGGTCTTGGATGGAGACCAGCAAAATGCAAACAACCGGGCAAACTATTTATAAGAATATCTTCTTCCTGTCTCTGTCTCTCTCTGTCTCTCACACACACTCATACCTTCAAGCACCCTTCTAGGTTTCCTGTGAGAATTTCTCATTTAGGCAACGGGCAAGGAGCAAGAGGCAGCTTTCCTCATCTTTGCCTTGATAGAAATGCCTGCCTTCATATTTATTTATGCAGCTATGCCACATCTTTGTTATGGCATGTGAGAGATCTAGTTTGAGAGATCTAGGTTGTGGCATGCAGGATATAGTTCCCTGACCAGGGATCGACCCCAGGCCCCCTGCTTTGGGAGCGTGAAGTCTCTGCCACTGGCCCACCAGAGAAGTCCCTGAGCTGCCTGTCTTTAAAGATAAATTAGAAAAATAAGCAAAATCCTCACTTACAGAACTGGAGTTTCACTGCTCTGCATCTATACTAGTGAAACAGATATGCATATACACCAGAAGACAGCAGTATCTGTTGCAGTAAAATATTGCGAAAGATCTAAATTCCCACAAATCAGGGAAATGCTTTATAAAGTTTATGCAGTCCAAACCATGAACTATTCTACAGCAGTCAACACTGATGAGGAGGAGCTAACTCTGCTCTAACTGGAAAAATGCCCAAGACCGGTTATTAAGTAAAAAGACTCAGGTGCCAGTATATAATAGAGCACAAAATATTTTAAATTTATGTAAAATAAAAACCCATAAAGCAATTTCTGGGCACCTTCCATAGATGTGTGTGTATGTGTTTGTATTCAAAGGCTAGAGAAGGATCTGGAAGAACATATCATATGAAGTATATATCAGTATATATATATATATATATATATATAAAATTTCATATATATATATACTGATAAAAATTAAGTCTTGGTGCAGGGAGTTGTTGGTAAGAGTTTGGGATTGAGAGTAGAGGTCAAAGGTCAAAGATTATTTGCAATGATGACTTTTGTTCAAGGGAGTTAAGTATTACCTTTGTCATTTACAGTTAATGCAATAAAATCAGGATAGAACTGGAAGGGTGCCTTTGTGCAGTAGGGTGATGCTCACTTCACTGGACCTGGGAGGGCACCTAGCGTGCATCCACTCAGTGGAAGATGCCAAGCATCTTCCTTTGTGCTAAGCACTGCCTTGGGGAGCTAATCATGGCCAGAAATCACGTTTTCTCTAAGTTTCTCTAAGTTTCCATCTGGTGGAGGAGTAGACATTGAAATAAGTCTTTCCAAATGAACAGAAGTAGAGAGAAAACTAGAGCCTATAAAATTGGGTGATGGAGGTGCCTTGTTTGGGGGACGCGAGGGGGTTTACAGAGTGACTGACATGGACACTGTGATTAGAAGTTGTGTAGAAGGACTTAGGGCTTCCCTGGTCATTCAGACAGTAAAGAATCTGCCTGTAATGTGGGAGACCTGGGTTCAGTCCTTGGATTGGGAAGATCCTCTGGAGAAAGGAATGGACAGAAGGGAATGGTTACCCACTCCAGGGTATTCCCTGGAGAATCCCATGGACAGAGGAGCCTGGTGGGCTACAGTCCATGGGGTCACAGAGAGTCGGACAGGACTGAGTAACTACACTTTCACTTTCTTTCTTTCACGGAGGGACTTCACTGGCGGTCCAGTGGTTACAACGCCACGCTTCCAATACAGGGGCCATGGATTCCATCCCTGGTTGGGGAACTAAGATCCTACATGCCACAGGTGTCAGAGGGCAGGAGTGGGGCCAGAAGGAGAAAAGGAGAGGGAGGGGCAAGGTGTCCAAGGAGAGGAAGCAGCATGTGAGTAAGGGAAAAAACAAGGGGTGCTGGGGCCCCGGAAGGCAGGCAGCTGGCCGGGCAGTGAGTAGCAGGTGAGCCCGGGTGGTGTCTGTACGCAGAGGCCTGGAGACCAGGAAAGAGACCTGGATCCTGTCTCAGGAGTTCTGGGGAAACACTGGGAGTTTTAAGTAAATAGAGACATGATCAGGTTTTCATGACTTTTCAATTAAAAAAATTGGGGTAGCGGGGGGCCACATACACATGGGCTGTTACTTCGCCAACAAGAGATGGAACCTGAGTTCCCTGCACTGGAAGCTCTGAGCTTTAACCACTAGACTGCCAGGGAAGTCCCCAGGTTTGCGTTTGCATAAGACCTCTCTGGCTGCTGTGAGGAGCATGAATTGGCATGGGGGTGAGGATGAATGGGGGCCGACTGCTAGGGGCTGCTGCAGTAACCTGGGTGGAGATGAGGGGAGCTGGCGCTGGGGGGAGGGTCCATCAGTAAAGAAGTGCGTAGATTTGAAGGACACTTCATGCCAGATCCTACTTGTGATTTGGGAAAAGCATCATCCCTGACCGAGCATCTTGCCTTCAATTTACACCGCCTCATTCCATCCTTAGGACAGCTGAGGGAGGCAACAAGTGCCATTTAGAGGATGAAGAAACAGAGGCTGAGCAAATAACAGGTGGGCGAATTGGAGAAGGGAGACTACATCCCTGGGAGTGCTCCTCATGCAGGCATCCCTGGGCCCCCACCTGTTCTCCCGCCTCCCAAAGCCCCTGGACTCACTGTTGTGCAGCCAGCTGGTGAAGGTCAGCGAGCAGTTCTGTACATCGAAGGGGAAGTTGTAGATGTCCAGGCTACAGGCAGTCATCACCTGGAGGGGCTTGTAGTTCTGGACCTCGCCGTGATGCCGGACGTACACATACGGGATGTTTGGAGACTTCCCCACGTCCACACTGGCCAGGGAAGAGGGGTGGGTTTGGGGCTCAAGGAGCAGGTCAAGCCCTGGATGTCAGAAGGTCTCTGAGCAGCTTGGCAGGGAAAGAAATGCAGAGAGGGTCCGGACAACAGGACAACCTGGCAGCTTTGTCTGGCCTCGGCTTGTCCAAGCTTCTTATCTCAGGCTTCCTTACCTGCCATTGCCAAGGCCACTTTTCAAGCAGTTAAAGAGCATTTCACCTTTATCCCCCTGGATACCTAGCCACAAAATGCAAGCCAGGAGTCCATGGGCCCCAAAGCCCCAGGCCGTAAGGAAAACACCCAGTGGTCCCCCATATGCCGCCCACCCGGGCTGAGCAGAGCTCAGCTCCCAGGAGCAATGGGCAGGCTTGGTGGGAGAGCAGACCCTTGGGTTCCATCCCTAGGAATCCTTGAAATGAAAACAATCATTTCCAGGGGTTGGGGGTGGGAACAGAACTGGAGAAATCAATGAGAAGAATTAGGGCAAGTGGCGAAGTCCTATAAGAGCTCATCCCACTCTCTTTGGGCAGACCCCAGGCCGAGCTCCCCTAGGGGAGCCCTGGAGCTAAGCCAGGGGCGCTGAGCCTGTGGCCTTCTGTGGCATCAGGCTGAGAGACAAGAAGTCAAGACCAAGGCTCCTTCAGTGTTGAAAATGGAGATCCAGCCTGAAACTGGAGATCCTCGGTCCCTCCAGCCTCAGCTCTGCAGGGAGTAAGGCTCTGAGTCAGCTGCCTCCCTGAATTGCGAGCGGCACCCCCTGGACGTGGGCGATGCACTGGGTACTGGGTGGAGGACGGCTGGCTCCTGCCACCTTCTCTTTCCATCTGTCTCCCCAGCCATCTTCCCAGCCCTTGGATTCAGAAGCCCAGGCAGTGGAGCCTGAAGGATGAGGGGAAGGAATGTTGGCTGCTGGGAATAAAGGCCGGTGGGACCCACTTCACCCTGGGGTGCAATTTGTGCCCACTCAGACACATGTGTGGCTTAAAAGTTTGAGTGTCTCTTGGCCCCAAGCCTCCTCTGGGCCAGGGGTGGTAACCATTGCTGGCACTTTATTCCTTTCAGAAATATTCCTGTCCCTTTTAAAAACACTGCTCCTCATTAGACTATTATAGCAACGTGGATTCATTCACCGGCCTCCTTTCTTCCTGGAAAGGGATCCTTGGGTCAGGGAGAAGAGCAAAGTTTCAGCATCAGACATAGAAAAAGAGGAGCTTTTAAAAGAAAAGAAAGGGAGAAAAAGATAAAGGGGAATGAGGGCCCAATGCAACTTTATCTCCATTTCTGCAGATCTGGTGCAACATCTCAAATACAACAGCAGGGATCTTGTCTCTTACCCCCTCCATCCCCAGCCCCCATGCCCCTGGCTGCCAAGCGTCTGATGACAGTACTCACAACTCATTGATAAGGATGTCTGGGACCCAGATGCTGTCTGTGGGGATGGACAATTTGGTGATGTTGTCAAAGTCCTCGGGGTCCCACTGGAGAAACTCATCGGTCCAGTACTAGGGAAGAAGCAGGAATGATCACGGGTGACCCAGTCCATCATGGGCGGGGTCGTCTGCAACTCAGGCCAACTTCACCGCTCAGAGCCCACGCAACAGGGCGGGCATCTTCTTGGGAGAATCTGGGAGTCAGTGTCACCCAGGTAACTCACTGGTACCCAAGAGTCCCTTCCCCTCTGCACTCACACATCCCTACATGCGAATATATACAACACAGACAGACGTAGCCCCTCCCTCGGGGAAGGTATCCAATCCTTTCTAATGCTATAAACCACCTAGCCATCAACTGAGGTATGTGGGCTAAGTCACTTCAGTCATGTCCGACTCCTTGCAGCCCTTTGGACTGTAGCCCACCAGACTACACCAGTCCATGGAGTTTTCCAGGCAAGAATCCTGGAGTGGGTTGCCATTTCCTCTTAGACAAATCCCTTCTTGGGTCTTGATCTGCACATATGTAAATGGAGATAAGAGTATGCACCTCACGGGGTAGATATGCCTATTGCTAAATTTTGATTAATGCCTCCTCCACTGCCCTGCCAGAATGACTGGTCTAAAATGTAAACGCCACTGTGTTGCTTTGTCGCAGAGTCCTCCTCGCAGCTTCCCTGAGCAGCATCCATCAGAAGCTGGAGGAGTGGGGACATGGCTGGGCATGGGAAGACTCAGTGACGGGATCATCCTGTTTCAATCGCCCGATTTGGTCGTCGTCCAATTTGGCTTTCTTTTTTTTTTTTTTCAATTTGGCTTTCAAGGAGGGAAGAACTTTCTAGCAATTAGAGCTGTTTGAAAGCAAAGTGGCTGCCTTCTGAGCTGCCAGTCACCATGGTGTTTGATCAGCAGAAGCAGGACAAGCACTTGTTAGAGATGCTGTGAAAAACCTTGGAAACCAGAGGGGAGGATGGGGGATTTCTCCTCCGCTGATCTTTAAGCTGCTTCCGGTTCCCAGTCCTGAGGTCAGAGGGGCCCAGATCCAGAAGACCCCAGATCTCATGAGCATGCCTCTTCCCTCCTCTCCTCTCCCCTTTCTTCCCCTCTTTCCCTTGCTGAAGGCCCGGCTCCTCTGAGACAGAGGAGTGCCCCCAGGAAGGGTTGCCCGCCCCCCAGTCCCAGGACATGGGGGTGGGGGAGGGGCTGGTTGGCTCACCTGCCGATACCAGATGTAGGTGGTCAGGACCTGATTCTTCTCATCCTGTGGAAGGAACAGGAGCTCAGCAAAGGCGGCCCTGTGGGCTGGGAGCCCACCTGGCACACACCAGCCCCAATGGGGGCTGCTGCTCTGTGTCCCTGCTCCCCTGAGAATGACGAAATGGGGCTGGGAAAGGGGCCAGCCAGAAAAAAATCGGTCTTTTACTAGGAGACACCTAGGAAGAAGTTCAAGGATTTCTTTTTTAACACGTGTGTGTGTGTTCCCATATATGTCTTCTATTATCTTCTGTTGTGTATATTTTACATAAACATATATAAATAATAACATAGTAAAAGATAATAATAGAAGACATATATAACAACCATAAAGAAGGCCGAGCACCAAAGAATTGATGCTTTTGAACTGTGATGCTGGAGAAGACTCCTAAGAGTCCCTTGGACAACAAGGAGATCCAGCCAGCCCATCCTAAAGGAGATCTGTCCTGGGTGTTCACTGGAAGGACTGATGCTGAAGCTGAAGCTTCAGCACTTTAGCAACCTGATGCGAACAGCCAACTCATTGGAAAAGACCCTGATGCTGGGAAAGACTGAGGGCAGGAGGAGAAGGGGACGACAGAGGATGAGGTGGTTGGATGGCACCACTGCCTCAACGGACATGAGTTTGAGGAAGGACAGGGAAGCCTGGTGTGCTGCAGTCCATGGGGTCGCAGAGTCGGACACAACTTAGCGACTAAACAACAACATAACATCATATAGACGTATATCTGTACAATTATATCTGTATCTATGTATCTACACCTATTTCCTACCTTGGCATGAAGTCAAAAGGTATAGACCGACATAGAATGAAAAATTCATCACTCTCCCTCCCTTCCATCCAGTTCCCAATTTCCCTTCCTGAAACATCCCGTTGACTCTAGTAGAGATGGCCAGAGCAGTCAGTTCTGCCCACCCTACCCCAGTGCAGCACCTGCATCTCTGCAGTTGCCTTCTTATTTATCTCTGTCCAGCGTCTAACCTCCTCAGCTGGGTAATGCACTCCACCCTACTTCAGTAATTGATTAACTGCTTTATTTATAACTCTTCAACCACGATTTAGTAACACCCGCCATGTACCAGGGACGTGTGTAAGACAGTGAGGGCGTAGAGGTGAATAGGACAGTCTGCACCCTCATCCAGCTCACACAGGGAGGTGCGATGTGTGAACCACATGTACGCACAACCCGTGGGCTGTAGGGTGTGGGAGAGGCAGCCACGCAGGTGACCCCAGTTTTCAGTTTGGGGAGCATCCTGAGCTGTGTGTGGTATCAGGGCTCAGGGGCTGTGGGCACCCAAAAGCCCACCCTGGACTTGGTCTCACATGGTCTCCCACTCAGAAGGTCCACCCTGGAGCAGGGCAGCGGGGCCGGGTGCTCACCACGCTGAGGATGGCGTAGAGGATGACATCGATGGACACGGTGGTCGGTGTCCTCCAGTCCCTCACGGGCCGCACACCCTTCTTGTAGTTGGCCAGCAGGTGATCTGACAGCCGCAGAAGAGCCGGCCTGGAGACGTTGGGGGGCTGGGCGTCCCCCCTGTGCTTGGCTGGGAAGGACACACAGCGAAGCCTGAGTCTGCACCGAGTTTCAAAGCTAGTAAATTGTGTCCCCACTTAATCCCACCTCCCAGAACTCCCAGATAGCCCCACAGACTGAAATTCCCATCTCCGGAGAATTTTTTGCCTACAGAGGTTCCTGCCAAAACCCAAAGGTATTCATAAGGGTAGCCCCGGCCCCCGATTATATGAGAAAGGAAGCTGGGCTGTGAGAGCAGGTGGCCTGAGGCAGGTGAGGCCCCGAGTCGGCCGAGGATGAGAAGGGCTGAGAGTCACTGCTCGTCCAGAGGAGGTGGGCCTCTGGGGCCTGGACGAGGGACTCTGGGAGCCGAGGGAAGCTGGCCCTGGCATGAGACCCTAGAGAGTGTGGCCCCCACACAGGTCCTAAGCCCAGCGGTCTGCAGGGTGTCAGCCTCAGCGGAGGTCAGAGCTCAGCGTCTGCACAGCTTACAGTCCCTGGGACCCCAGCCCACAGCTGACGAGGAGAGAGGGGTGGGCACCCAGCGAACCCACCCCGGGGAGAGCCCGCCCCGTCTCCACGCTCACGCAAACTCCCGAGGAGTCCTTGCCGGGGCTCCTCCTTAGTCTAGCTTTCTGGGCTTGGTTTCATAGGGTTGGGAAGAGGGCTGGGGTGGGGTGTGGAGGAAGCCAGGTAGAAGCCAAGCTGCTCCCAGAGCCAGAGGCCTGCAAGGATAAAATCGTGAAACCCAAGACCTTGGTCCTCGCCCCACGCTGCGGGGATTTCACACGAGTGCCTCAGTTGTCCCTCTGGGAAACAGTAAGAGCATTTCTTGAAAGATGCCAGAAACACGAAGGTGAAAGACAGGGTGGGGGAGGGGGCACCCTGGAGGAAACAGGGCGCTGCTGGGGGTGGCGGGGTGCGGGGCCTTTCACAGCCCAGGGGCCGGCAGGCTGGGCTTTCTCCAGACAAGTTTGCTTCTTCTCCCACCTCATCTACCGTGCGTGCAATCCCTACAGAAAATTGGTCCTGCCCCTCCCCCGCTCCCCAATAAACTTTCAGAAAAACAACAGCAGAGAGAGCGAGGAAGATGAGAGGATGTTTACTGAGCGTCCCCTTTGGGAATAATGTCAATGAGCATGTTGTTCATTTCAGTATCAGCCCCCCTGGGCTGGCTGTTACGAGAGCCTCCGTTACAGATAAAGATGCCCAAGGCTCAGACAGGCGAGTACCGTGCCCTGCAGGCAAGGGAGCTGGGATTCAGACCCAGGTCCTTGCGTGTCTTCACTGCACCAGCAACAGCCCAGGTCTTATCGTCTGGGATTCTGACCAGACCTCAGAGCCGAGGATCAGTGCCGGGAGAGACAGAGCTCCCCCTCAGCCAGAGCAGCCCCAGACCACAGTCTTAACTCACACAGCCCGGGCCTGCTCATCCCACTGGGCCACCCCCAACGACACGAGGAAATCCATCGTGCCCCTAAGCCCCTCAGAGCTGCATGTTTAAGCATATCCTAACTGTGCCCACCCTGGCTTCAAAGAGCTCTGGCTGGAGAGAAAACCTTCCCATAGGGGAGGGAATGAATATTGTCTGCAACAAAGGAGATGGATTCTTTTGTGACTAAAACCCCTTGTATCCCCAGGAGGCGGGAAAGGATGGGTGAGGGAATGCAGAGAGAAGTTTGGTGCTCTCCGAGTTGAGCCCTGGAAGGAACTTTTCTAGAAGACGAAGGCCCAGAGAGCTCATGCAATGAAAGCAGTGAAGTCAGAGAAGATGACATTTGTCCTGGTCTCTACTGCTGCGGAGCTGTGTGACCCTGGGTGAATTCCTCCCCCTCTCTGGACCGCAGCATTCCTGTTTATAATGAGAGAGGGGATCAAAAGAGCTCCAACTTCCCTTACAGCTGCCCTTCGATGAGTCTGGGGGCCCCAGCAAAGAGGAGAGGAGCCCGCTAAGCGTTTCCCACACAGCAGGCTGTGCCACGCCCCACTCTGCAAGCCCTGCTCTCATCCTTCGCTCGAGATGCCCAACTTTCTAGCTGGATCCTCCCGGGGCGTGGAAATTCTCTCTTGCCCACAGCGGTAAGATCCCTGACTTTCCTGCTGCCTCACCTGCTCCAAAACCCTCCTCCCCTCAACTTTTGGAGGCGCTAAGCGTTCCCTGCCCCACCTCTGTCCGCTGCCGCCCAGGTGCTGCGTGCTGTCCCACCGTCTCCTTACCTTCTCCCCGTGGTGCCAGCAGTGTGGGCAGAAGCAAGCCGAGCAGCGCCCGCGGCACCCAGGGCAGCATCGTCGCTTCTCTCGGAGCGGCCTTCAGGGTGAGTGCTGCGGAGGACCAGCCTGCCCGCGCTCCACCAGCCTCATGTCAGCCAGCCTCCCGCACCTCCTGAGGCTGCAGCCTTACGCTGCCCCTGGCCACCAGGGCTGGGAAGCCGCCAAGTTTTCCAGCAATCAATCCTTCCGCTGGATCAGGTTTCAGGGCGGGGAGGGAAGGGGAGGAAGCCCGCCAGGCTGATGTCACAGGGCCAATGGAGCTTAGTCCACCCGTTCAGCCAGGTGGCCTGGCCAAGTTCCCCAAGCAGTAACTTGGGGACGAGCGCTGCAGGAGCCCCTGAGCAAGGGGGCATCCTGTGTGCTGAGAGGCGCTCCGGGCTGCTGCCTTCGCTTATACCCCTCACTAGCCTTGAGCCGGGGCTTTTCTAGTGGCTCAGCTGTAAAGAATCCACCTGCAATTTGGGAGATCCGGGTTTGATCCCTGGGTTGGGAAGATCCCCTGAAGGAGGGCATGTAAACCCACTCCAGTATTCTTGCCTGGGAAGTCCCATGAACAGAGGAACCTGGTGGGCTACAGTCCATAGGGTCCCTCAGAGTTGAACACGACTGAAGCGACTTAGCAGCAGCACCAGCACTGAACTGGGGCAGAGTGGGTGGGGTTGGAGAAGCAGGAGGACTATGCTCTTACTCCAAAGGCGACACTGTGTCCCCGGCTAAACAGGAGACTGGGCATCATCAGTAAAGAGCACGTACACATTTAACTGCTCCCCAGACACACAAACCCACTGCCCCTAAACGTCCCATTCTGTGTCCTTGGGGCTCCCTGTATGAATCCGTGAGGCACTCCCACTCCCCTGTTTCTTGCTCCAAGTCCTGGCCTGGGTGGCCTGGGGTCCCGTGCCTTCCACCGAGCCAGGCCCCCTGCCCCAAGACAGAGCCAGGAAGGTAGGAGCATCAGACACTAGACTTGTTCTACAAGGGGCAGCGCCAAAGCTGGAGGGAAAATGCGGCGAGAGGAAGATGAAAATAAGCAGAAGGTAAAACTGTAGAAAAGACCCGGAGAGGAAGGGGGAAAATAAAAAAACATAAAAGGAAGGAGAAAAGGAAAAGACTGGAAAATCTGTAGGAAATAGAAGGAAGAGGAAAATAGAATTAAAAGGCAAGAAGTGGGGGGGACAAAAAGAGGAAAAGAAAAAAGGGAGAAGGAGGAATCAGACGCAGCAGGAAGATGCTGAGCCCTGAGCCCAGAGGGGCCTGAGTGTGGGTGTTCCTTCCGGAATGGGACCCTGGTTCGTGGGGGGATGGAGTGGATCACCTCGGGACAGTGAAGAAGCCTGGAGACCCCTTCCCACGAGCCCACATTGCTGCTGTGAACTCCTGGGACCCTCTGAGACTGCCTGATTGTGTTGGGAGTGGGGGAGAGCATGTCATGGGCATGGTGTGTGTATTTGAGAAGTAGCTTCTTAGGTAACAGGATTAGAGCGAGCCGGGCAGGCCACAGCCTCCGATGGAGATGTATTGCCCGTGCGTTTCTCTCTGATGCAGCAGCAATCAGGTTTCCCCTGAAGAAATTTCCTATTAATGGATTTGATGGCGCACCAGACAAGGGGAGTTGGAGCCGTGGCCAGTGGCGGGGTGTAAATTGCCTCCGATGAAACCGTGGAGTCACTTTTGCCCCTTTTAAACAAGATAAGAATTAGTGCAAGGCCTTGATGAACTCTCCTTGGCCAGTGGGGATGAGGGAAAAGCAGAGGCCCGGCTAATTTGATTCCTGAGCTCTGCTTGCAGACGGCCAGGCTCCTCCCAGGGAGCGGAGGCAGACACGCAGATGGCAGCAGGCCAGCGTGGGTCATGAAAAGCTCAGAGGCTGCAGGGCCCGCAGCCCCGGGCTTCCTTTGAGTCCGGCAGCTCCAGGCGCCATGGGAAGGAGGACTGTTTGCACACGTGTCTGGAGCTTCCCACCCTTTGCGGTGCTGTCTCGTGATATAGCCCTGATCGCTTTTCTTGCTCCCATTTTCCAGGTTCAAACACTCCAGAGCCCAGAGCGCCTCCAGGACTTGCCTTGGCTCCCAAAGCTAGTTACAGATGGAGCTGAGATTCTCCAGGCTCCTGGCTCCAGCCTTTCTCATTACAGCTGCATGTTTCCCATCTTCCCCAGTAGATTTTTACTGGTCTGTAAAACTTTCACCACCAAAGAGCCTGATCTTTTAACACCCATAAACCTATAAAAATTCTGCAACCCATCGTAACATCTGGCCCCATTAGGGGCCCATCTGCTAGAGAAGGGCTGGGGGAATCGTGTGGCTTCTCACCATCATCCTAAGTGGGAGATACAGCTTCTTACTCCCCACAGCCTTGAGGAGAGGGATTCAGGAAGCCCAGTGGTTGGTTAGACACTCAGGCTTGGCACTTGCTCACCGGGTCCCTATGACACCCACCCCACTCTCCCCTGGGGGCAGCATTGAAACAAGCGGCACCCTATCGACCTTGCCCACCATGTCCTCAGCCTACATTTTGACTGTGAAAAAGCTTCAGCCAAAGAATAAATTTAGTCAAAAAAGCAAGAAAATGCAGAAACAAGGGAACATAGTCCAACAAGACTAAGTCATAGCTTAGTCATTAAGCATAGTCAGTGACCTTTACTTCCTCCTCAGGGCTATAGCAATTGAACAACAACAATAACAAGGGCTACAGACAATGTTCTGAGCCATATCCATGAGCTGCCTTATAGATACTGAAACCCCCACCAGCTGGAAGAAGTTAACTACACAATGACCAGACTGTTAACTGTACTGCCACAGCTCTGAGAACTGGCCTCAAGGAAATGGGAACAAACAGACCCCGGAACTGAAGATTAATTGTACTTAAAACAATCAAGATGACGCTGGTCAGACTACCGATGACCAATTTCAAGATGACTGTCAGAGCTGGCTGTGCTGTTTCTATGTGTAGCCCCCATCCCAGCCTATAAAAAGTCTTGCCCACTGGTTGTGGTGGTTGGGGTGGGGGTGGTCAGCCTTTGAACAGAAGTCTGCCCTTCTCCCCAGGTGCCGGCATCCAAAATAAAGCAAACTTTCCTCTCCACCAATCTTGCCTCTTTATTGGCTTTTGAGCAGTGAACAGCTGGATCCCACTTTTGGTTATAGCATGAGGGCCACCTTTCTACCACCCAGTTCTGAGGACCTGACATACTTTGGCATGGAGGCTGAATCACTTAGGGGGTGTCTGCTCACGGGAAGGGTGGAAGCACGGAGGATAGGACGATGCCTGCCTCAGTTTCCCTAGTCCCCCTGCCCAAAGAGGCAGCAGTGGCCTTTATAGGGAGGAGAGTAGGGGAATAGTGTCCTCAGACACTGCATGATCTCCCCTGTCTGGGTCTTTCTTTCCTCGATGTCCCATCATGTCCTGTCATGACCTGTCGCCTAATAAGGACCCGGTCTGAGCTTTGGAATGGACTGAACCTGGCTGCCACCAACAGTACCTGCTATTTACCAATCATTCTATGTGCCAGGCATTGTGCTAAGCTCTTTATCATATTTAATCCTTACTTCCGGTGAAGAAGATATTACTCCCATACTGCAGGTGAGGAAATTGAGGCACAGAGATGTGAAGCAAACTTACATAGCCAGTAAGTGGAGAGTGTGGTATTAAGTCTTATAGACTCAAAAGCCTGGGCTTTTTCTCTTTTTTTCATTTATTTTTATTAGTTGGAGGCTAATTACTTCACAACATTGCAGTGGGTTTTGTCATACATTGACATGAATCAGCCATGGAGTTACATGTATTCCCCATCCCGGTCCCCCCCTCCCACCTCCCTCTCCACCCAATTCCTCTGGGTCTTCCCAGTGCACCAGGCCCGAGCACTTGTCTCATGCATCCCACCTGGGCTGGTGATCTGTTTCACTATAGATAATATACATAAAAGCCTGGGCTTTTCACCACCTGCTTGCGCTGAGCCCCAGAGCATCTCTTTGAGATCCAGGCTGATGGGACTCTGGCTCCAATCCCCAGAATGGATGGGGGTCCTCATTCTTACCTTGATGAGTTTTGTTAAAAAGCTAAGCTCCGGAGTCTACTAATTAAAGATATTTTTATTGAGGAGCATCATAAGTAAGAACATATGATGACTTAATGGACTGTTAAGTGTACTATTTTCCCCACTACAGAATGGATTCAGAAATATCACACTTTACCATCCAGGTCCTGGCAAAGCCCATTTCTGCAAATGTCAGATCTGGGCTGCACAGTGAATGTGGGACCAGTGACCTCGGCAGTCCCTCCTCACAGTAACAGTGTGGTCCTAGAGGATTTCACACACATATAATTTTAGTTCTTTTGGCTCTGCTGGGTCTGCATTGCTGGTTGGGCTTTTCTGCAGTTGTGGAGAGCTGGGGCTACTCTCCACTTGCGGTGTTGTGGGTTTCTCATTGTGGTGGCGGCTCTTGTTGCGGATCATGGGCTCTGGGGCCTGTGGGGTTCAGTTGTTGGGGCACACGGTCTCAGTACCTGCAGCTCCCTAGCTCTAGAGCACAGGCTCAACAGCTGTAGTGCACGGGCTTATTTGCTCTGCCACATGCGGGGATCTTCCCAGAACAGGGATTGAACCCGTGCCTCCTTCATTGGCAGGTGGATTCTTTACCACTGAGCCTCCCAGGAAGCCCAACGCTAGAGTGTTTGAATTTATTTTTACTTATTTGTTTGGTCCAGCTACATGGCATGGGGGAGTTTAGTTCCCTGACCAGGGGTCAAACCTGTGCCCCCTTCAGTGGAAGCACAGATTCATAACCACTGGACCTCCAGGGAAGTCTCGAGAGTTCTTAGAGTCTAATATTATTCTGTGGAGTATGGGCACATCGGGGTGAGGCTCCATTAGAAGGGTGTGGTTATTACTTGGGTCCTGCCACCTGGGGAAGAGGCTTTTTACAGCCCTCCAATCAGACAGGATGGAGACAGTGAAGTAAATGACACACTGGGGATTTTTTTCTGTCTTGATCTCCAAAGGTCAAGATGAACAAG